TATATATATATATATATATATATATATATATATATATATAGGAGCAGAAACAAACGTATTCATTTTATTTTTCGAAAGCTTGTCACTTTTAGGATGAAAAGTGAATGAAATAATGAGAATATTCAGTTCAAAGAGGTAGGTTAGATAACCTTCGCCATAACTCGATAACCTCGTAGAAATCAAACAGTGTATTTTCGGCAAGGTCGCGGAAGTGATAAATTCAACCCTGTGTTCATGCGAGTTAGTGTTACGGTAATACGATATTCACAACAACGTGTTCTGATTGCCTAGGCTCTCTCACAGGAATTTAGCATAGAAAAGATTCCCAACCGTTTTGCACTACAAAGATTGCCGTAGACACGTGTTAACAATGCGCACAATTTGTATAGTCTTCCTCATCCAAGTTGGCTTTAAACATACCACACACACACACACACACCATAAACGCATTTACCCGTAGGCGCATAGAGAGTTGTACCGGGCTATGGAAGCAGTACACTGGTGCATTCATCGTTTCCTCTTGTGATCACGTAACTGCCATTCCAATTGGCACGGTTTCCGTGCGTCGCCAGGTCTCAGTTACCACTCACATAGAGAATTGTTTTGGTACAAATGCAGTAACGGTTGTCTCGTTGTCAACCACGTGACAAGTAGAAACCATGCATTGTATGAGGAGCAGAGCACGCAAATACTCACAAAACAGTGAATATATAAATATCTACTTAGTTTAATTCATTAAATTTTCCAAGCTCGTTCAGTGAAGTACCAATGACTGGAGAACGTGCGCGCTTTTCAATCCCACAGGCGTCGAATTATTCCTGTGAATGAAATATCTCATTGATTGGGCTGTTTGGCTTAGTTGTTCAAAGACCGGTGAACAACGCGCATTTTACAGTAGAACCTGTGAAAATCGGCTTTATCATCTATGAATACCTCATTTTTCTTCTCTGGTGCTCAGCTCCATAAAATGCCGGGTACTGTATGTGTTAGCAAATATACATACTCGCTGATACAATTACGTAGAACGTTTGCAAGTGCAAAATAGCTAATTTTCGCTTGTCGTTCGTGTGCAAATTCATTATCTAGATTCGCGACAGGTAACAAAGTAAGTAAATTAAAAAAAGGGCTGAACTCCACGATTTCAAGATCGAAGATTGGCACCAGTACATAATTAAGTAGTTCGGTCCGATTGATAGCAATATTAAGAACGGATCTATCTAGATGTTCAATATTGCAATAGAGTTATTTTGTAAGGTTCGATTCTTGATTAAAAAGTTTGTGATTTGATATCCCAGGGGGATAAAACGTGGACAGACCTCAATGAGGCCAGTCATGACGAAGCACCTACCCAGTTTTCTTGGCCGGCTATGACACTAACTTATCTAAAGCAAATACATTTCACATGGCGAAGAAATGAGCACTGGTAGAATTAAACCCATGACCATAATCACAGACGCACCTGTGTTGACGACTACCATTCTGCGGCTTGCAATGCTATATTGCATGTAATTATGAGTCCCCTGGTTAGTGTGAGGTTAGTCATGTGGCACATAGAATCGACTTCCGAACGAGCATGGTGTCAGCACAACAAGAATAATAATAGATAGGGCGATTTGGGTAAAAATGACGATGTAAGGAAATCAAGGATAATTATATATTTGATTTGTTTCAACAAACCGTATGGTAGATTAACTTAACTGTCACAGGACCACCAGTGACTTGTCTGCGCCTGTTTTTAAGGAGGAATAGTCTGCAGTGACGATGAATAATTTTTCTTTGTTTTTTGGAAAGGCGATAGACAGTTTAAAAATTGGTGCAAATTCAGTATGATACTGATTCACCCGGAGAGAGACAAGTCCTTTCGATAAAATATGTTCGGTTTAGGTGTATTGGGCATAGCAGTTAGAGTCATTGTCACTGGCTCATTTTTCCGCTCCTGGTCAGTTTTTGAACACTGAACTTTCCTTTTAGTCGCAAAAGAGGTAAATCGAACATGAAAAATTTGATGCTGTAAGGGTGCATTCGTAAGCGATGTGTATTAGTAAGAGAGGATTGCACTGAAATCCACTGGCAAAGCTTCAATACAATACAGTGCAATACAATGCCTGTTGAGCTGAACATTTACCCGAGGAGTGACATCAATCTAATTTTCTTAGGAGAAAGATATCTGTGATTCTTTACGTTCCGTTAATATAAAAGTAATTATATAGGAACTTGGAATCTACATTGAACTCCATAGGATGAGAACTGAGTGGCATGTAAAACAACTGTTCTCGGATTACAGAGACAGTAAGAATGTTCATACAGAAACGCGACCGCGCTGTTTCACTTGCAATGGAACAAAGTGAATGCACAGGGTTTTTCAATGAAGGTAACCTCTCGGTTGGGTTGCGCTTCTTTAAAGTTTCAAACCTCTTGTTCCCTTTAGGAATTTCATAAGAACGAGAATAAGCATAATCACGGTAGGGTTGCCACCATAGTTCCGATCGATAAGCATGTTCTCCCACCCTTTCTCTCCTCTCAATCCCAGTGTGACTGATGACCTTTGACCTTCACAGTGATTTTACTTAGCCGAGTGTTTTTTGATAACAAGTTTGTTTCAGAACATTGGAATGGCATGAAACCAGTGTGAGAACTGCATGAGCAAGACATGGAAGGATCTCAGACCGAACACACAATCACAATGTTTAGGGGCCAGGACAAGACTTGAGGAATTTGCACCCAGGTGGTTGAGTGATTTGACACAAGGAATCATTTAGTTACCAGTACAAAGCCACAAACATTTTCCCTCCATTATAGGTAGATTGGAGGTTCCTTGGTAAGCGGGAATAGGACTTCATTGGATTCCGATGGAGTGATAAAAAGATAACAGGAGATTGAAAATAAAGATTTCGATGGAGATTTAGGAATTGATTCTTATTTCCACATTGCAATCCACCCGGCATATCTTACGCGTACATAAAAAATTGGTTCTCATTCCTGACTGATGAAGGGACTATAGAATCAGAAAAAAGTTGGTAGGGGATTGAAAATGGTGCCATTATATAGGGTGAATTAAGTCCTGCAAGTGAAGGGTTTACTCAGCCAGCAAAAGCAGTAGTTGGGAAAGACCACACTTCTCCAACAAATTTAACAGTTAAGAACGGTTAATATAAATCAAACCATATGTGTCATCAAATAAAACATGCACAAATGTTGGCCGCAAATGAACTGAAAAATAAATAGCATACTCCAAGTGTGCTGAGTAAACTCAGGTCAAGCGGTTGTCTAGAAATACAGATTATCGATCGACCTATCATTGTAATACAGTGAAAATTCAAATATAAAATGAATGAATCACCATAGAATTATAAAATCTCACTTGCTTTTGTACATGTTTAACAAATTTTCCGTTTTCGATACTTACTCAGTGGTGAGAGAATATTAAAAAGCAGGCAATGAACAAACAAATTAACTGCACTTACTCTTTCATTTTAGCGAATGTTCTTGGAACGAAAAATAACAAATATCCACCAAGGTAGTCGCTTTAAGATTACACACATATGCATACTTCAGTTTTAAAACCACTCACAAAATAAATCCTACAGTGGATCCACCATCTTCCCTCCCGTTTTATTTTTGTAATAATCGATTTCAGCTCTGAAAACGATCACACCGAAGTTCATAGAAAATCACTACTGCTCCTCCTCCATCCTGGAACATATTCACCAATCGTTGCGTAACGCAATTCGTGATGAGCTTAATTCGGATGTGCGATTTGAGCTTTTGGAGCTATTTTTATATCTCATTGCACAAGGTATCATTATCGAAGAAACGAATGAGGACAAGATCGGTCGAAATATTGACGAGCTGTTAGATAAATCTGAAGCGGTCGTTGATGAACGCCTCGGGGTGAGTAATTTTAGGGTTGCGTCTACCAAACCAGATCAGTGGGTTCCCGAAATCGAACTGCTTGGTATGGAGACTGAAAACTACGCCAGTGCGGAACAGCAGTGTGTGCTCAATCCTTCACCCACAGCACAAAGTGACGATACAGATGGGATTTCCGATGCATACCTATCAACTTTGAATACCGAGTACAGGTTGGACGTGGACGATAAGAAGCCAGTGCACTTTGAGCTCACTCGGACCTATGAGCTGCTGAAAATGTTCGAGCATTCCGATCCATGCCCGAAAATACGAAGGTACGTACACGACGGAATGAGATTTAGTTCTCCTAGAAAAATGACTGTGAGGCTTCGTTGTTTGGATTCTGTGCTCAAATTTTACCTACTGAATGTTCACTTCAGTCATATTTTACTTGCAAAAGTTCAACTTTACAGTACTGGATAACTGATCATTTAAGATTAATGAAGGTATTTTTTTCTGCCTAGTATGAGTATTTTCTTAGAATGTAGATGATATATTTATTGCCAATTTGATTAGGATGGCTGTTCAAAGTTGGTAATGTATTGTTTTGCCCAGAGGACACAGAACCTCTCAGCAAAACGATGGGTCCCCTGTGCAAACCTATCATCAGTGACCGGAGGGATGTACCAATGGGGCGAGGGCTGAGACAACTGTACACACAAAAGACTCGGCGTGTGCCATGATAAGCACACTCACTGCATTCCTTCATGGCGTTGCGGGAGAATTTCGCGGACCCGGTTGTTACTTGCGTCTGGCTTGAGACACCTATCTTACATGCGTTTGCTTCAATCCAGATGGCACGGTCGCTAATGCAACACATGCGCGTTCACGCACCCGCACACTCACGTACAGGCACTGAATTCATGGTACGAATTATTCGATGCCAAAAGTGATGGTTGCACTGGAAGGGGTTTGAATTAGAATGAAATAAATGGTAACGGGGCCAGCCTGACCTTCATCGTCTCGATCGTTTTGACATTTGACCGTCTGTCTCTGTGTGTGTATCTGTATCAGCGAATTTGATTTGTGCGATTCCCCAGTCCACATGCACCATGGGCACAAGTAACAGACAACGGTGCCGGCTGAGGGGGTGGGTGGGTGGCGAAACAGTCATTCAAGGAAGCATTTTCCAGGCGTGAAGGGCTGCGTTCTCCGTTCTATCCATCGGTTCACCGTTCTCTCATGCTCCGTTGGCCTGGAATAGGAAAGGTTATTGCTGAGGTGTAATAGCACGTTAGTATTTACAAAAGACGTCAGGGCTACAGTTTGTCTCGCATGTAACAAACACCGGATGCATGCACATAATTGAATTCAGAGTTATTCCTTGTGGCGCACGCAGTTCTTCATTGGGGGGAAATGATAACTTATTTCTATCTACTTTGTTTATACATACTCCACAAATATGTGAAATGCTGTCTCTGGGGAATGGAAATGCCTAGGTCTGACAGCTGGGACGTGATGAATTTCATTCATGGGTTTTAAAACTGCTTCATCACACGATTATTTTTTCAAGAAAGTATTCCATCAACCTATCTGCTATTTTCAGTAGAAAGGGTTTAGTTTTGAATGGGAAAAAACAACCATACTGCCTTGTGGATCTATGTTTATTAATTCATTTAAAAGAGACGTTGGTAATCCAGATGAATATGAAATAAAAATCGAAAGTGGTCACCTTAAGTTGTCTTGAAGATTAGATTGTTTCTCTTGCTACGCTACGCACTCAATATGTGTGATACCTATGAGAAGAGAAATAATCAATATCCCCCTAAAATCGTCAGATTTATAACCCGAACTGGCTTTAGGTGTTCAAACACCACTGTCGCTCGAGTGCGGTGGGGAAACTGAACAAACAATTCTGACGCTAGATGCAGAGTTTTAAGTAATTGCGTTAGAGCAAGTGGTCAACCTCTGTAGACTCCGGTTTTTAGGCACGTGCTGCACCTGCCACTAAATAGATTGCTACGGCACGCGGTATTTGCCCTGGTAGGTAGTGGATGTAAAAAGGTCAAGGGCAGTAACACTCAGACAGGGCGCGAGGGTATGAAAACCTCGATTAATAAACTTGCTCACACAGGTCGCATTCAGCTCCCTGGATGAGGACCTCGAGATCTTGGTAACCGGCGGTTAGAGACATTGAATGAAGTGGCGGAGCGTTGCAAACAGTAGCGATCTTGCATCCTTCCAACCTTAGTCTATATGTGAATTAGGTTTCGTGTCTTTGAATCTGATTGCAACATTCCAAACTACTCCGTACTCCTTTATCCAACCAGGTAGTCATGAAACAACAACCAAAACCGGCGCACAAAAGTGATTGATTCTAAAAACTGAAACTGAAATTTCGGCAAGACATATATCAAAAATTTCAAAGATTTGTACATATTTTCTTACATATTGTCAGGTCATTTTTGAAGTTCCTTCAAAATAACTGGTAAATATCATCTGAGGTATTTACTGTATTAGTAATTAAATGTGGATGGTGCATGTATCGGGGTTTTTCTAACAATTCTCAAGGAAAATCTTTTGTTTAAATGCTGATACTCAGGTGCACTCCACAAAGCACTAACCGTGGCCTGTCAGTTTCCTCTCGCTATTTCCCGGTTAGACTCGGGGATACAAAATGTTCACAGTGCGACTGAGTTTTGAACAAAACCCAATGTTATTTGTTGATCTTAAAAACGAGCTAAACGAGAGTAGCTTTAAAAGCTACTGTCTCAGGGTTTAGAAACAATACGCGGTGGGTAAAAAGATGCGAAACCCATGGTAACATTGTTTCTTTACTAGCATAATAGTACGACAGTCAAATTCCAAGGAGCTGGAGATTTTTTTCACATTAATATCTTTGGAAAATATCGACGATTCGGTAAACATTCTTCAGTAAGCTCCAAACGCTCACGCCCTCTGCTTCAAGAAAGCAAAGTGAATTGTGTGGGTAGTGCTGAGTGGTAAAACTTCACTCAACTCACAGGAGAGAATCACCGATCGCTGCATTCTGATATCAAAAGATGAAGGCAAATTTCACACTGTCGCACGTCTAGCATAAGTGAGTTTAGAGAGCTCTTGCTCCATTCGATTTCGAGTTCTCAACTTATTCTTGACCATCGTAAATACTGCGTCACGGAGCATGTTGAAGCATTATCGTAGTATATATATGATGGTACTGGTTCGGTGTAGCTGCGCGTTTGACGAAAAGATTATTCCTTAGGCTACAGAAGACTTTTTAAAGTATGAATGTTGTGCATGAAACTCTCAGCTTGCCAAAACTGTCAGATATAATACTACCAACAACCGAACCCCTCTCAATATACATGGATTTTTGCCACGAAGAGTTAACCTTAGTGTATTAAATGCACCGACAGTGTCTTCTGAAATTTCGGTATATTTTTGAGTCATAGTCAACAATGCTCATTTGGCTAGTTGGCGGGTTAATTTCAGTGAGCGTTCTATTAGCGATATAATGATATCATTTGATTGGTTTTGGTGCTGAGAAATGCCGTCACGTTGACTTCTATCAGTAACAAAATTATTTTTATTTCGTTCAGACTTCTTCAGTTTACAAGCAGCTGAGAGGGCTTTATTCTATGCTCAGACAAGTGGTACGGGAATGAGTGGAATAGAGCTATACTGAAAAGTTAGTGCAGTTGGTCTAATCCTTTTAATATGCACTTATTTTTTAACTGTTCTCAATCCCAATAGAATGCTTTCTACACGATTGGATGCTATATTTACGAAATTGTTGGATGAAGTCAACAGAAAAAACGGCTCAAGTCAAAAACTCACTTTTGGAGGGGATCGTGATCGAATAAAACATCTGGTAAACGAATTGGGAAGCAACTGTCTCAAAATGTATTCGGATTTAATGCTTCCAAAAGAATCATTCTATCAAAAGTATTCCGAGTTCATTAAAATATAATATATTGCAAACAACTGATCGGGTTGTGGTTTACAAACTAGAAAATGCCTGTATGTATCATTATTTTCTGAGCAATGGTTTGCGGCAATAACAATCGNTCCCCCCCCCCCCCGCCCGAGCGACTTTGACTGATTTTACAAATAAATCGTCTCGAATTGATTTGTTTGAAGGTAACGCACTAGAGTGTTTTCATTTAAACGTTGCACACGCATTACCAAAATTAAAGGCAACGAATTTTCATCCAGGAAATTCAAAGGGCTTTTGATGCAACAGTGTTAGCCGAAAAATAAGTCGATCATACCGAAAATTCCATTGTAATAGCTTGCCATATCACCCGGAGGGAGTATTTGGTTTGATTAATAGAGAACGAAGGTTTTGATTTTTCTAAGTTACTAACTGTATCCGTTGGTGGTGCCGTGCAGCTGAAAACTCAGTAACTATAACAACAATGTGAATGTCGTTGATGAGATCCATGATAGTAATAAAAATGATTCTACTGATTCTGATGATGACAGTTTGCATAAGTTGAAAAGAGAGAGTACCCGAGCAATTGAAAATCGTGTGGCCCATTTGATGGAATGCACCGTTTGGATTTGGTAGTTCAGTATTCTGCTCCTTGGTTACATTATCAACTGGATCCCAATAGGCTTCAGTACATCAGTCGGGGTATCATGCATGCGGTTAACTACCATCCCTGAGAAAGTAAGTGCAATCACAATAGTAGCCAGAATAGTTTGTGATGTCGTACGAAAATATGACATATATATCATCTGATCATCGACCAAACTTACAGACATATAGATGAACATTCCAGGTAGCACGTAAGCTTAAAGTCACTGGAATTTTGAGTCAATCGGACGAACACTATGGAACTGTTAATATTGTTCGAATTCCGTTGTCAGGTTGCTTTCAAGAAATTTTCCAGTAATCCACGCGGAAAATATCCGAAGCCTGGGATTCGAATTCACACAAAATGCACAGTACTACATGTATTACTTCTAACAGTAGAGCAGAGGGTTCACACCAAATTGGAGGCGTCTATACGTGAGTTCAAATATTAATTACTTATTTCGCAACATCAGTTTGACTCGGTTTGTTTCTGACAACGAAGTAAAAGCTCTTCTTGTTCAATAATCTTATCGATGATCGTAGATTTCACCGGGAACAAAATGAGTCAATTTAACTGGTTTGTTGGAGACGACAAATTTTACTCACTCAAGACGTATATTGTAACTCAGAAATTGGCCTTTCTGATATTCTCTCCCCTATCTGCCAACCTGAAATTTATCACGTTTACTCCATCTCGTTTGGAATTTGATTTAGACTTCTACCAGTCACACGGTGCGGGGGGAGGTGGACGAGACATTGACAAACAGTGCCAACAAAATGTTTCGTCAAGGACCAGTTGTTTGATATAGATTGACTTAGGCTGAATGCACTCTCGGTGAAGGGTCACTTTTGACATAATGACATTTGGTTGCCTGCAATGGTATCTTTCAAGACTTTCTTCACGGATAGACGGGAAGAAAAGCAGGACCAGTATGCGGCTAGACGATGAGCAGGTCATTTGACAGCATGCGACTTTCCATCAGTGTGTGGCAAACTCCCTTGACATCAAGACACAAATGGATTTCTTTCTTATTTCGATTTAGATGAGACCCACCAGGAAGGCGACTTGAGAGATGTTAATGATGCTGACGATTTCTCTCTTCATAGTCGGTCAGTGGATGTCCAAAAAGGGAACTAACCGCGCGACTACAAATGTGGGATGCTTTTTACGTGTCAGAACTGACCAGAAAGATGTGCACTCCTTTTTACCTGTTCTCGTGTGCCAATAAAGATAACGCTAGGGCAATCAGTTGTTTTCGACTTTCTGATGTCAAATGAAGGCGAGGGCTTTATTGTCCTGACGAGGAATTGAGAATAAAGTGTTGCAGAAAAAAAGTAGAAAGGCTTGCGTAGCAAAAGAACGCAATTTTCGAAATATTACGTTTATATTTCATGCACAGCTATATGTGAATCGTTTGTGCAAGCATCAAACACCATTGCTAAGTAAAAAGCATAACACGTTGGTCGTTTAAAGTAATTCAGTTTCACTTCGTTTTTATTGTTATGCTCATTGTGAATTAATCTAATTAAGCGTAACGCATTAATTGGTGAGTCGATCAATCATGCTGGTCGAACACGTGCTTATTGTGTTGCGGCTGCACTCGCCGATCCCAAGCGAAGTTGTGGCTGGCAGTTTTGCTTCAGCCATTCATTCCCTCACCAAATATCGTCCGGAGGATCAGAGAACTTACGATAAGCGTAATCGAAATTGAAATGCAAACCAAATCTTCAGGAGAAGAATTTTGTGTGACTAGAACAAATGCTTGCTTTGCACCAATCTTTCGAGCAAATATCTCTGTTTTCAGAGATCCACAAATACTAGCGAGGTTACCAGAACGTATCCTGTTAGCCGTCGTGAGTGTGTGTGTGTGTGGGGGGGATTATCAAACTGCTAGATTGTATGATGTATGATTGTATGTGCAATGCATTGCTGCAGAAGTCTCCAATGAATTTTGCACCAACTGCTAATTGCACCGCACAGTTCTCATGATATCGCGGGAATTTCTGGCATTTCTATAAATCTGACGGGTAGCGATGACACCAAATATCTCAGCCTGATGTGGAAAATGTGATTTCATGAATGGGATGATTTTGGTGCTATTGTTTTCTGCCGTTGTGTGGTTTATCCCAGTTGTAATTCAGTGTCTGCGGAACGTGTTTGATAACCCACAAGACATATGCAAACTGCTAGAGAAAGATAGACGGAATGGCGGATAGATTTAAATCTAGGCAAGGAAATAGGTTTCAGTTCATTGTGTAAGAACTGCAGGGTGTCATATGTTCAGCACACCGAGTCTGGATATGCAGACCAATTTTTCGCTGAAAGGTGGAAAATTGAAGAATATTCTGTGGTAAAAGAACGCAACCCCGATTTAAGGATCTAAATCGAATGTAGCGGATTAGGAATTGGCTACTAAGTATCCACTTGAAAGGTCGTAACAGATGTCAACACCAATCAGTTGCTGTATGAATATCTTCTCCAAGTAGCTATCTTAGGCTCCCAAGAAGACCTTTGTAGAACGTATACATTGAAATGCCACAGAACAGTCCGGGCTGGTTGATCGGGGTTAGTTGTTCCTGCCAAAATGTTACAGGGGATTCTTTCGATTGAGAACTTAAGGACCATAGTGCGTAGTTGCTTCATGCAAAAAAATCAAATTCCGGTGTTTGAGTAAACTGACCGACTAAAATTATTGCTCCATTGTGGTGAAAACGCAATCGTTTGAGACTTACAAGGGTCGAAATTAAGGCCTTCATCATTTTAACGGTCACAGATGTTCAAAATTCAATTTCATCCATGATGAAAGGTACTTCATAAACGGATGTTCATAAAAATTTGTTACACAACCCAGATACTGAGAACAGGCCGTTTTTGTGGGGAAAAATATAATTTTACATAGGAATTTTTATGTGAAAAATTTTATCATTCTTTGTAACTTGAGACACCGGGAACGCAAAGGGCGAGTCGAGAGGAAGACGATTTCTTTGATCCGGACTTGGTTCCCGGCGTTGAAAAGAAATGGGACAGCGACAATACTTGAAGGGGGTGGCTTGATGAGTTCACCTCTACGCGATTATCTTGTCCTGTGTTTCGTTCATCGGAAACAGTGCTGCTTACTGTCTTGAGTCCTTTTGCGATGCGCAAGCGCTCTGAAGCCAAAGGAAATACTGAATGTTTAGCAATAAATTCAGATGAAGTATTCTTAACGTGCATTGTTTTAATCAAAATATGAAGATGATTTGACTGTGTTTGCTTTTAAATTTTAGCAGTTTCCCCTGTTCCGAATTCAAATTTGTGACCCCTCCTGGTCTGATGAAGTTTGTGTCAACTAAACTAGTAAACGATAAACAAACATTCCCCCCGTGTCCCATGCAGGTCTATGGACCAGCTTTCAGTAAAGCTATTGGGTTTTCAAGTATGCAGTTTGCGGAGTAACACTGATGCTCTTTTTCCAAAAATGAGTCAGGTTAAGCTGTGGAAGTCGGTTTTTTAGCATAACGAGAAATGTCTACACTATTCATCAAAGCAACGTGGTTGTGTATTTTAAAAGGACGGGCATCACTCGCACACAGATGATCTGATAGGTACACCGCATTAACGTGGGAAGTGACAGAAAACGGCATCCTATACAAGAGACGTTTTCCGTTTTTTTTGTTAAACGAAAGTGGAGTAGAAGTTTCACCGTCAGATTAATACGGAGAAATTCAGCAGACTTGCATATCATACATGGCTGGACAGGTTAAAGTATCATTCAGATAACTCATGCAGTGAGCAGTGATTCGAAGGGTTAGCAAAACCGATCACCGTGCCTGGGAGTAGTAGTACTAGTAGTGATTAAATATTTATCAGAGGAACGCCGATGATAAGAAGAATTTTATGTTCCTGATTGTTTTATCTTGATTCAGAATTCACTTTTGTTTACAGTTTTTATGACAAAATTATAGGGCTTCGACTGATTTTTTCTAATTTGCTTGAATTATCTTATCATGCTGTATTTAGTTCCCGTACTGTGACTCCTTTTTAATGCAATTGTTGGCGTTACAACATCTATTCTTACGTGACATATAGTTCCTTTAGACTGGAACTCGATATGTGACGGTCATCGTTAGTTTGTGATGCAGCGTTCATAGGAACATTAGATACAATAACTGCTTGCCTACTCTGCCTTAGCAATCGCCTATCACATGAATTTAATTATCATTTTAGCTAGTGGTTGCTGTAAACTACCATCATGCTGTAGAAGGTAGTTTCCAATCCTTACTTATTCCGAATCTTTTTACTCATGATACAATTTTGTATATTCATGATAAGCGATTTCCTCCGGCAATTCAAGGTTCGCTTTTGAATGCCATACCAGAGATGATGACCAAAGACTGTTATGTTGCATTGC